TCAGCCCCTCACCGGAATGGAGGCGGCGGCGGGGGGTCTGGGCTCCACTGCGCCGGGAACGGCGGCGGGGGAGGCGGCGGCCCGCGGGTCGTGCGCATCGTCAAGTCCGAGTCCGGCTACGGCTTCAACGTGCGGGGCCAAGTGAGCGAGGGCGGGCAACTGCGGAGCATCAACGGGGAGCTGTACGCGCCGCTGCAGCATGTGAGCGCCGTGCTGCCCGGGGGGGCGGCCGACCGGGCCGGGGTGCGCAAGGGGGACCGCATCCTGGAGGTGTGAGTATCGCGGCCGCCACGCCCCGTCCCTTTACCCTTCGCCTGTCCTGGACCCCCACCCTGTCACCCAGGCCGCACCTCCCCCAGCTCGCGAGCCTGCCGCGACCCTCGTCCCCGGCGGGCCTTCGCGGCTCGGCTTGGAGCCTTCTTCCTGGCGTCTCCAGTTTGTGCCCTTGCCCCACCATCTCAGTGCTCTCCCCGCTGTCCCTATGCCTTTGACTGCTCTCAAACCCTTTGCCCTCTTCTGTGGCATGCTGCTTTCTGCTCTATACTGACCCAGCCAGTACTGTATCCTCCCCAAGTTCTCATCTTTAGCATCATAGTTTCCTGGTCTCTGCCACTCCCCTCAGACCCTGTGGACTGTCCCTTCTGCCCTCTAGACCCGGTAGGACCTGTGGTCAGCTGCTTTTCCTTTGGAGGCATCATCTCTTCCCCTACCTTAGGCCCCCCCTTTCTTTTCTTAGTTACTCCCCCGTTATGGTAAAGCAAACCGACATTTTTGTATCCACCGCTTGGCCTTTTCTCCCCTCTTTGTAGTCATACCATCTCGAGTATACCGTATCATCGCATGCGTTTTTTGGGGGAGGGGTTGACACTAGTTTTTCTTCCGATCCTGATGTTGCAACCTAATTTTCAATCCGATTTCTCCATGGCCACATTTCTCTGAGTGCGCCCCTTTTCTGGCTTACTGGCTTCCCACGTGCACACTCCTTACACTTCGGTAGTGCTTTGCTAGCTCCAACCTCCCCCCCCCCCCCCCCAACTGCAATCGCCTTAGGTCTTTGCCTTCTCCATTTTCCTCCAGCGCTGTGCTGTTGCAATCCTACACTTTATCTTACTTGTTCCTCCAGATAGCTTTCCCTTCTCTTTGTAAGGCCCCTTTTGCTCTCTCAACTACCTTCTGCTGCAGCGCCTTCCTTCACCATACTCCTTTAGCTGGCTCACCGTCACCACTACAGCCCTTAAAGCTCCCAGGATATTGCCTTGTCTTGGCAGTTTCAACCCAGACCTCCTCTGCCCTAAGCTGTGTTATGCTTGTGAGTTTGTACTTTGTACTAAATTTGCATAGTGGTTGTTGGTTGGCTTGTAGGTGCTATGTGCACTCATTGTCTCCATTCTCCTTCAACCCAGAATTTCTGTACTGCATCTATAGTGTATCCCCCCCCCCATACACACATGACACACGGGCCCACCCCTTCCATGATGGGATTTTCCCACATAAATCTTTCTTTTTAAACATTTCATTTTAATTACAAGTTTCACAGCTGCCTGTTTTCATTTTGCAAAGCCAATTCGCCTAGGTCTGTACTGACGGTATCTTCCAGAGGAGTTGGTTCCCTTCTTTCCACTTTTGTGCCCATTGTACTCTTGCTCTGTGGAATCATTCCTTCTGCTTCCTCATCTTTCCACTCCAAGAAGGAGTAGCTCACTGACGCGTGCGTTTGGAGCTTTTGTACATTTCCTCTGACCTTTCTGGAAATAGATGCTTGCTTTTTTTATTACTGTATTACAGAGTATTTTCTAATATTCTCTGGCGGTGTATTCTTAGTCTTTGTGGGAGCTTTAAGATACTGAATGCAGGAATGACTTTTGATGCTTTGTACCTGAGTACCCAGGTGTTTATTTTCTAGACAACCCCAAATCTGCGACTGATGGATTCTTTTGTTAGAAACTTTTAGAGTTATTTTGCTTTCCCTTTGGAAATTAACTTTGATTCAGCCTTTTATTTTTAGATTTGCAATATATAAAAGTTATAAGTGTATTAAAGTTCTAGGTCATTTGCTTTATAGGATCCAAAACAATGAATCTGCAGCTAATATCATCTACCATGAGTGCATAAGCCAAGAGATACAGTTGGTGGCTTTTTGCCTTTATTGCAGTCTGCAGCAGAGAGCACAGCTCTAAGGAGTCATTGCAGTGAAGATATGAGTGATCTTGTGGACTCCTGGGAGAGGGCTTTGCCTTGGCCCACAATACAGGCCAGGAGCCTGGAAGTAGAAGCTAATGTTTTGGTACTGTCCTTGGATGAGAGTAGTTTTTGTCATTTTAGGTGGCAGGGGAAAAAAAAACACTGCCTGGAGAAATTCTCTCTGGAAGGCCATTGGTGATGAAAATCTTCATGGTATTGTTTTGTCCCCTTCCAGCTGCTGGTGTTCTGATCTCCAGAGCCTTTGAAACTTCTATGGTACTGTTGTAGTAGTAGTAGTGACAGTTCTAAGCTGGCCCATAACTTCTGAGACCTCAGTATGTCTCTCCCACCCTCCCCTTAGGTTTTCAAGTCAGAGGAGAGAAATCAGCTACTAACTTCGCTTTAGAGACATATTTATCTATTTGAGGCAGGGTCTCATATAGCCCAGGCCGACCTCACATTCACTATGTAGCTTAGACGTTGAGCTTTTGGTCGTCCTCACCACCTCCTGAGTGCTGAGATTGATTACAGGTGTTTGCCATTTTGTTGGCTTCATGTGGTGCTGGGATGGAACCCAGGGATGCAGGGCTTCCAGCTTGGTAGACAAGCGCTTTACCAACTCAACTACATTCCCAGCCTGAGCTCTTCAATTTGTCTTCTTACCCAAGTTCTTAACCTCTCTGTTGTCTTGGGAAAGCTTTTCATGTTGATGAAACCCCAGGCGGTGGAGTCTGAGTTAGGCATAGGTGGATTATTACTGTGTACCTTTAGGATTATACACCAAGTCACAGGCGGGGGTCTGGACCTTGATAGCTGAGGTTGGAGATTTCTCCCTGTTTTAAAAGTCTTCCCGATGCACAGCTTTGACTCCAGCCTTCGTGTTGCAGTTTGGACAGGTGGTGGAGGTGTGGGAGAACGGTGCCTGAGATTGAAGTGGGCACAGACTTGAATGTCAGGAAGAGGACCCGTTTCCTTGTCCTGCTCCTAGTCTGCCTACCAAGGCTCGAGGCCTGGGGTAATTGTCAGCTGGAGCCAGTATTGGCTCACTTTCTGCTTTTTCCTTTTGAGGCTGACTAGATTGTGACTGGATTAAGAGAGTAATCATGTTCCGGGACTTGGTACTGCAATGTGAAGAAGTCCGCTGGGCTCTAGATTTTATTACAGATGGGAAGTTTTCTTGACTAACAGTGTTAGTCTCCATCTTATAGTTTTCCCAGTCTAATATGTACTAAATGCCTTCCCTTTGATGTGCACATACCTTGAGGCCAGTGTGTGAAAGATGCTTTCAATAAGCAGAACCAAAATCTTTGCACTAATTATATAGTATGTGAAGTGACTGGCTTCAGGTTAATTTCTGTAGGGTTAGAATAGGTGTAAAGACACTTGATTGATTTCTTGGCAGTTTCCTTTTGGAGAGTTGCAGTATGTAGTGGATTTGGAGCTGCCTATTATGTACTCAAGTCTGCATTTGAGATTATGTTTGTATGTTTTTGGCCAGGTACTGGGATCTTTGTGTGTGTGCACATACAAATGCACAAGGCACACTTTGAGGGGTTCTGAATGTTGGGGCAAATTTTCATGTCTCTACCTCTTATCTCCTCGTGGGATGGCTGGGGTTACAGATATTTACAGTGTATCCAACCTTGAGGTGGGTTCCAGGAGTCGGACACAGGTAGTCAGACTTGCACAGCATGCACATTTATCTGCTAAACCTGAACTGGGGAGTGTGCATTTCAAGCACGGACCCTTAGGGTTGGCTTGTAGGCATTCAAAGTCATGATGCATATATATTAGTCAGAGAGTATGTGCCTTCCTCCTTATTTGCTACCTGATAATGTACCATCAGCCTTTCCTTGTTAAGGTAAAGCATAAGATAAATTATGCTGTATGTGACATTTTGTATGTGACAATTTGTTTATGGAGGGATTTTTCCTGTTTCATGTGAATGTTTGAAAATCATTGAACAAAGAGTTTGATGCAATAAGTATTTTTACAGTTGAGTGAGTTATGAAACATTGACTGTTAAATATCTTAAGAGCCTTTAAAAAATTTGATTTCTCTTTGGCTCAGATATTCCAGGTAGACTTGGATAATAATGTTTGAAATGATTGTTGAGCAAAGGGAATGATGATGGCAAAGTTCTCACACTTTGGTATGCACAAGAATCACCTGGGGCAGCCGAAGCACAGGTTTGCAGGGACACTCTGGTGGCTGTGATTCGGTGTGTCTGCATAAGGCTAGACAGTTTGTCACTCCTTTGCCCAGTATAGGGAGTGGAGCTCACATGCTAAGCCACATTCTCAGAACAACACGATGGCTATGGACTGTTCTAGACTATTCTCAGCTCATTGTGCTTTATCATTATGGTTATGCTGGTCGTCAGTAGCTAGTACTTGGCCAACAAATAGTGATTTGTTAAGCGCGGAACTCCAGACTAAAGGGAAGCCAGTTCCTCAGCAAGTAGTCTGTACAGTTGTGCTTCCTTTCATGGAGCTGCTGTTGTCCTGCGGCAAAGGTGTACAGTTAACAAACAGAACAAAGGATGCTGAGCGCTGTGTCAGCTTGCAGTGTTTGCTGTTAAAGTTTGCAGTGCAGTGCCTATGCATTGGAACTTCAGGACAGCCTCTTGTTGAGAGCTTCAAAGCTCCTCAGGGCAGGGACTGTGTTGACTGTTATGTGTATTGTGCAGTGGTACCTTGGCTTTCTTCTGTGAGTATTTGCTGAATGGATAGGAGTAAATTAGCCCTCTTTTGTGAGGAGAAAAGGGTACTGCTTTGAGTGACAGCCAGAGTTAAATCCAGCTCTTAAGATTCCTTCCCATTTTTTAAAATATGTTTTGGTTATTGACTGTTAATAGTCAAGTTCCTTAATTTTTATTCTTTAGAAGTTACACAAATCTATACAGTGTATCTTGATCACATCTATCTCAACTTCTCCCAACTCTACTTAGGAACCTCTCATGACATCTTCCCAACTTTGTGTCCTTCTATAATTTATTAATTATATAATTTTTAAAAATTTATTTTTTATATGCATTGGTGTTTCACCTGCATGTATGTCTGTGTGAGGGTGTTGGTTCCCCTGGAACTGG